AAAAAAAAAAGAACATTTTCTGTTTCACTCGCCTCTTATAGCAATTTCTAAGTTGAGAGACTAAAGATAGAAGAAGTAAATTGGTCAATTTAGTGTTTAGTCATCTATAATAAGTCTTAACGATTTTTGAAAAGCGTAGTAGCTGTTCAGAATTTTTAAGATGAACAAGCTTAAGAGGTGAAATGAGGATTATGAGCCTATTTTTTGTCTTTTCAGAATCTTGCTGAGTTTTTGGTCAATTATTTTGCTCATCTTAACTATGCTTTTTTTTTCTGTTTAACCAAATATACTGTATAATATTGTTTAGAAAAAGTAATTACTGTCTTTTTTTTGGGTCACTTTTATTTATTTCAAAGATTAACCGTACATATCAAAACGTTCAAAAAAGTACAAAAAAAAGAAAAATTATTCTATATATTTGTAGAACAGAAATGAAATGTTAAAGTGTGAAAAAACATGTTTTTTAAAAAAACCCATTATAAAACCATGAAATATTTGGCAACGTTGAAAATGACCACTGACAACTTATCTGTATAACATTTACAATTTATTGTATTTAGAATTTCAACACCAAATATAGCTGAACAAAAAGCTGGTAGAAAAACTCTATTAGATTCTTGGAAACATCATGTACCTGGTGGAACTATATCGGGTGATCGATCAGTTCCACGAATAAATTTTCCAGGTTCTGGATCTGATTATCAGGTATCAAAATAGTTGATTAAGCATTAGTTTAAGATTTTTTAAATTATCTATAATTAAAAAAAAACTTTTATAACTAATATATGTTTGCAGATATAAAATAATGTATACGTTCTTTTTTTAGCGTTTTTTATCATATCTTGGAATTCCAATAGCCGATATCAAATTTGAAAGTTTACCGCTGTATTCGTATATGCTTTATCATTCAATGTATGAAATTCCATGGACAGTTGAAAATCTTATTGACAAAAATTTTGCTGCAACAACAGCTGTTGGACAACTTTGGCTTGAACTTTCTCGAGCTTTAGCAGATAATTTGGTTAAAACTTTTTTTTTTTGTCTAGAAACAGTTAATCAATTAATTTTTTGAAACAATTTTAAAGCATAAATAATTAAAACTTTTTTAGAAGCAAAAAAAAAAATTACTGAAAACTGATTATTATTAGATTTTGGAAAAATTTGTGTTAATAAAACTACAACTAAAAAACAATTTTGTTGAAATTGAATGATGAAAAAATGAGATTTCAAAAAGTAACATTTTATTGATGGCAGTATAACTTTATTGATAGTTTTGCAAAATTTGTTAGGTTGTTTAAAACAATGGAAAAGTATTAGGTTTTTGTAGGGCAAATATTTCTTTTCTTATATAATGATTACTGAATGAATAAAGTGTGATTAGCTGATAAATCATTTGATACATTCAGTCGTCTTCTTCCTCCTCCTCTTTTTGTTTTTTTTTTTTTAATCAAAAAGCAACAACAAAAAAAGAAATGTGAAGTTTTGATCTGCTTAACTATTAGTTTAGAAAACTAATTATTATACTAATTTGGTAGAACTTTATTGAGGATAATGAATTAGCAAATAAATGAACATTTTTTAACATAATAGCGGTATGTTTGTGTTACCGTTTAGAAATAATAATAATGAGATATAATAAAGAAATACCAATAAAGTTTTAAAGTTACTTAAAAAACTAAATTTTGTTTAAGCAATAAAAAAAAAAGTTATTGTAAACGTATTTTTTACGGTGAATAGTTTCGTTGTTAAATTTAATAAGTTTTCAAAAAAAAACTTAAAATGGCATTGGGTTGTCATCAGCTTTTCTGTTATTCATCTTTTTTTTTGCAGGTTATACCATTCAGCCCACACGATTATACAGTGGTTATTGAAGAATATATTGATAAACTAAATTTTCATTTGCTTAACATCAAAATTGCTGAAGCATTTGGTATTGATGATTATCATCAAATTTTTTGGAATCTTAAAGATGCAACAAAACGGTTTCGTAAAGTTGCCGATTCATTACAAAATTTTATTCATGTAAATTCCTTCCTCATTTCATTTATTCAATTCTGTTAGCAACAAATCTTAGAGGAATCAATTGCTGAACGTTTACTGATGTCGTTGTTGTTCAAAGTTTTTTTTTTTTTTCTTTCAGCTTACATTGTTTTCAGTGACAGCAGAAAATTTTTTTGATTGATTAATACTGACCAAAAAAATTAGCAAAATATCTTTTTGGAGAAAAAAAATCACTCAAAATTCAATTACTTATCAAAGGAAAAAAAAGTACTAAAAAAAAGACTATTTAGTTCATTGATATTTGATTAAAAAAATATTAGACTAATACTGCTTCTTGTTTTTTTGATTACTTTTTACAGTACAGTTGTCAAAAATTAAAGATTGTTTA